TACTGTAACATCAACATGGACCTGCAAGAGTTCATTCGTTCCGGGATAACTTTGGTGGTTTTACACAAAGTTGTCACCAAGCTGATAAAACGAGCCTTCAACTCGCATGTCTCATCAGCCCATTTGATTTGTGAGGTGATCACATGAAAACTCATTTGAAGAGGCAGAAGATGGATATGGGTCGATCCAAAGAAGTAAATCCGTACTTGCAGGCATCGGCTTTGATATGCTCCATACTGGTCCATACCCCATCATCATTTAGCATTTGCCATGAAACTGATTGAATCAATGGAAACGAGGTTAACCGCCGGAGTTTCGGGCTACTTACCGCCAGCTAGTAGCCCAAAGCGTTCCACGCTTTGTTTTGAATTCAGTTCCTGGGCTCCTAGGAGCCCAGTCCATTTCAGCCACGGCATGGTCATCACAAGATGTTAGCTCACCAGGGGGGCAATTTGCACTTTCATAATCTTTCATATTTTTCATGGTACCGGTTTCACAACATTGTCGTCGGTTCACAACATTGTCATTGTCTCTACAACATTGTCATTGTCATTGTCACAACATTGTCTCGCTGATTGAAACATGGACTCAATTCACAACCTGCATCCACATCTTGGAACTGCTCAGTTCCAAAGCGTGGATTGAAGGAACCATAATTCATCACACAGCTATGAATTGCCCAGTGTTCTTGATCTTTTGATCCATGTTTATCCAACATGTTGCAGCACTGCAACAGCACCAGGAGCATGCTTTCAGACTTGTTGAACCCCTACTCCTTGTTGAACAACCAATTTGTTTCATTTCAAGGCCCCTTGTTTGTAGCTTTTCAACTTTTATTTCACCAGGGTTTTGGTTGTGAACATTGCTTAGAAAGGCCTGTAGAGCCGTACAGGGCTTTTTCGGGCGGTAACACATCCTTGCACTGATCCAGATGGATCACTCCTCGGCATAGTTCTCCCTATGGGTTTAGTAGCTGTATTAATACCAGCAGGCCGCCATGCATTCGGCGCTCCGTCACCCAAGAGAGTGTCTGGACCGTTGCGGGTCTGGACCGCAGATCGGAACCGGGCGAACATGGGACTAGTGTAGACTCTTGATTCATAACCCCCCCCCATACTCAAAGGAGTGCTTCGTTCATCCATATCAGGGGGTTTTATGGGTCAAAGAGTCTACATTATGGCTCCAAGAAGACCAGGAACCCGCAGATTCTGGACTTCTCCATGGGCACCCCAATGGGGGGGGTAGGATGGAAAGGAAAAATGCTTTCGCCATGTCGAAAGCGTTGGGATGTCTGGAATCTTCGGTCACCCAACTCGGTCAACCCGTCAAGGCCCATTGGGACCGTTTTTTTGGGGTCCAGTGCCATGAGGTCAAGCAACAAGCAACTTGAGATTCCAAACTATGACCCCCCCCCACACTGCCTCCGCCACTGACATGGCATACTTCCCAGGCAGTCGTCCAAGGTTTGCAGGCCAACTTAGCAGCTTGGCGCGAACGTTCGGACCGCACGGACCCGCATCACACTGCGAAGTGCATCGGACGGTTGCGGAGGAGACGAGTTCAACTTGAAGAATTGTGGGTCGCTCCCCTCAAATTAGTTTATTTGATGTTCCCTTTTTGGGCCGAGGTGGGGGTCAAAAGCGTCTTCAAAGTTAAAGGACTACTTGGGCCTTTGCAGCTGAAAGGGCGACCTCGGGTGCGTTGCATGGCGTTGCATGGCGTTGCTCGTCACCCTCCCGACCAGACCGGAGGTTTTGTGTGTGTGTGTGTGTGTGTGTGTCAACCTCTGTAACTAAGAGTCCCTTTCCCTTTTGTGTACTTGCATTCGCAGGGGGTGCAAGCAGCCCATCCAGTCTTGCACCAACGAAGACACTGGATGTGTGCTGGTGATATCGATTTGGGACGTCAAATCGACGTACATGCGACTAACGTTTGCACAAGGTGTGACTCCACTGTTCTCGGTTTGACTCATGGTTCTTTCACGATACTTCCCCAAAAAACAGGTTTCCCTCCGCCGCTTTCCACCGTTGCTGAGGGCTTCCGCAGTCAAGTGAGAAACTCTTTGTTAAAGCACCTACAAATGCTTGGACATTTCGCCATGCGGTTCTCTCACCTTCCTTCCACCTGGGAATTGAGTTAACTGAAAACCAATGTCAGAGTGTGTGCGACACCAGATTCAGGGTTCACCTCGGCAGATTCCGGTGGAGGACTCTGAAGGGAACGCGTGGACATCCCATCCTTGAATCCGGCAATTTCCTGCTCTTTAAAGGCGAAATCCGGGTCTCCCACTGATATATAGGTGGTTTCCATGTACTGCTCAAGAGGAGGTGCCCTAGTTCTCCTACTTCGAAGCAGTCAGGTGAAAACTTCTATGACACATTATGAAGCAAACATGGCTTCCAGCTGAACGGACCCAGTTTTCCAAAGGTCATCTGTCAACTCCATGGTTTTTTTGAGAGAATTCATACCTCCGAAGACGCCCAGCACCACTTAGTGGATCGAGTTGATCCATTGTGGTATTTACCTGTACCTGAGCACAAACCACCCTCCAATCGAAGTGCCAGGAATTGCAACACGGCTGGAAGAGAAAACCTGATCCCATACTGAGAACGGATGGGCTGAGGAAGAATTTGCTGTCCATCGAAGGGAATTAGCCAGTACTGTAGGGAATTAGCCAGTACTGTACCATGGAAAAGGCAAATGAACACTGATCTCAGAGAAACACGAAAAAACACATCTACCGCCAGATGGACCCCATGTTGATGGGCTTCTCACCCCTTCCTCTTTCCCTTCTTCGGCCACGCCGTGAAGGATCGGGGCCCTTTCGGGGTGGCCTTCGGACGCGCCACCCTTTTCTCAGGCACTTTTCCTCAGTAAATCGGGGCCAGCAGCCGTGGACGATCCAGGGGCACCCCGGATTTACGCCCATGGCCGCTCGGCGGTTTCGGTTGACCGGATGGGGCTGGGAACAGGGAACACCGGCAGGAGGTCGCTGGCCCTTGTTCGGCGACCAAAACGGAACGGGATGGTTGAGAACGTGTGCTTGTGCGAAGATTCCGGGCCTGTTGTCACAGTCGATACGAGTCCGTGTGACTTCCACGGATTGCTCGAGTCGTGCTCCGTAGCAATGTGCTGGTGCAGACGAGCGTGAAGCGTTTTGAGGAAGAGGTAGCTGAATGTGGTTGGTCATGGTTTGTGTATGCTGTAATGGAATGATGTGCACCCTTCCAAAGAATCATGAAAGTGGACCGTATTGGACCGTCTGATCCCATGGAAGATGCCTTTCCGGAGACCTAAACGGAAGAAAACTCCACTCCCATGCGTATCATGCTTGACGCAGGGAGGATATAGACTGTATGATCCCAAACTCCCACAAGGTACACATTCAACAATCACGTCACGGGTCAGTTCTGAAGATGTTGGACTCCTTCACTGGACGCGACGGGCCATGCCTTTGGCGTGGTCGGGTCGACCGTGCCTCTGGTCGGCTCGACCGTGCCTCGCAGTGACCGCAGCCGCCCCAGGTCGAGAGGTGGACATGCACGAAGTTGGGGAACTCAATCACAGGGGCCTAGGAGCAAGCTTCGCTACGAACGGGGGCTCCTGGCATCGCGGCTGCGAACGGAGCGTGAGTGACACCGTCCATCGGTCAACACCGGGACCGGACCGGACGGTCTGACCGCGGTCTGGACGGTGTTCTTTCGGAGGGTCGGACGGTAGGACATCCAAAACAAACATCCTACCTGGACCGACACCTTCCAAGAGGGGTCTATAAGTAGCCTCTTAGTGGTTAAGGGAAGGTCCTGGTATTTCTTTCGAGGGAGAAGCATCCGAGCTTCTGGTGGCAGAATTCGCCTTCAAGAGCCAGACCGAGTCCAAAACCGCTACTTGGTGACTTCCAACAACGATGTCTGGCATCGTGCCATGGGATCCGCCGATCCGCGGATCGTGACCGATCCCACGAACGGCATGTCTCACGAACGGCCCAAGCAGTTCGACCGTTCGTGACGGTCCGGTTGTGAGATGCCGGTCTTAGTGGCGGTCACAGAAAGAGACCTTTTTTTGTCTGAGGTCACTTTGGGTCTGGTTTAGGCTGGGAACCAGGTGTCATTCTTGGACGAACCTGTCACTTCTTCGCCCAGCAGCGTGGCTCGAGCGTCTGAGATAGAGAGACCACAGGAAGCAGATGGGTCCAAAGGCCAGGCCAAAAGCGCGTGTGAAAAAACGTGTTGGGCAAATATCGTGTTGTATAAAGCACAAAACAAAACACCGGTTTTTGGGATGTTTTGGATCACATATAGATTAAAAGTACTGAAACACGCGGCGTCTTGCTTTCGAAAGGGATACTTCGCTGCAGTTTCCGCAACGATCTTGGATGATCTTGGAAAGACTCTGAACACAACGCCATTCTGCAGCAACGCGGCCACGGCCACCGTTGGTGCGTCTCGGCCTGCGGCGTCATTGGGGGGTTGGGTTAGCCAAGGGGTAGGAGGTTTGTACTGTCCTCACGCTCTGGTGTCATGTCCGAGTCTATGTGTTATTGTGGGACATTTCTTTGTGCCTGGCTGAAGTAGAGAGGATCTGCTGTGGCTATAATAGGCATGCCTCAGAATGAGGAACACTAGATGAAGATAGATGCAGCCCGGTTCAGGGGTGTCACGTTTTTCCAGAAGCCTTCAAGCACGACCATCCAACACCATCGTTTTGCGGCTCTCTTGGGATCGAGCACGAACCCATCAATTGAACAGGCAGTACTGTACAGCGTCAGGCGGCCGCGACACGTGAGGTGTCGGTCCGACCGTCGTTGGTGTGGACTCGATTGACCGGCTCAAAATGGCTCAACATCATGCGACATCCAGTACCACTCACCTTTTTCGTATTTTTTTCTGGGCAACTGGAACCATTGGACATCTGTGGCTTGCTGTTTTGACCAGGCATACCCACCCATCCTCCAGTTTCGAGGTGCGACCTCGACCTCAAGGCTTAAGCCTTGCCGGACCATGGCCTCGGTCACGGCCACTGGGATGTGAGTCGGGCGAAGTCGCACCGGTTCTCGAGTGGCCACTGGGAGGTGTCTTTGAGGGATGTCCTTGGCTGGCCCGGGTTTGGGCCGCTAAAGGCTCGGGGGTGTCGTTGCCCCTATTTCTCCAATTTTTCATACACGGTTCTTCCAAGTTCGGCGGTGGCCAAGCTGCGTTGCTGTCGGACAAACATCGCTCGTCCCCTTCGTTTCATCTGGTTTGGGACTGCAATGCGAGTTATGGGGGGTTACCTTTTCAAGCTGCGATCTCAACCGGCTGCGATGACATAATTGCGGGTTCCACGCAATTTGTTCGTAAGGTTTTCGTAGGTATGGCCGTAGCTTCAGATCCAAAAGCTGATGCAGGCATCGCATAGCAACATTGTGGAGTGGAACCGGACTTTATATATATATATATACCTTTTTGAAACCCAGAGCTAACTGGATGTGGCACGGTCAAAACTTTACTGCGCCCAAAAAAGTACTCTAATTTCTTGATTGCCTGAAGGTCAATCTAGTTGAGCTTTCACCTCTCCGCCAACGGGGTATAGGAAAGACATGGAAAGACACTGAAAGTTAACATCGCTAGGTTTCCACTCTGCCATTGGGGATTTTTTGGGTTTCGACCACCTGGATTGACCAAAGATAGATTGATGATTGAGGTCAAAGTGACGGCTGGCACGGAGGTGCAGGGGAAGAGCGGGAAGCTGGTCATGTACCTGCATGACCAGGCCGGACGTCCATTTCCAGATGGAAGACTCGCTGTGGCTCTTTTTTTAGAACCTCCAGAACAGAGCGCGAAAACGGGGGAACCACGAAAACGGGCGGCGTTTGTTGGCACAACAAGAAAGTATCGCGGGGTGTTCGTGCCTGAAAGATTTTGCAGTCTAACCCCCTGGGACAACAACCCTGCCTTTCATGATGTGCAAACACCGACTTCTCCAAGCGAGGCTCAACCTGGCGAACAGCGAACAACGACGTGATTTTTGTCTCAACCAATGGAAGGGGTTGAGGAACACTCATCTGAGAGTGTCTCTATCACAGGACCTTTTGACCATCATATTGTGGTATAAATTTGTTGGAGGAGTAGGAACTTGCAGGTGGGAAGCGTGCACTTCGATGGCTGCGTGGTGACTGAGTGACAAATGTGATGGCCCAGCTCCCCGCCCCTTTGAGCTCGCAGGTTGTTCAGGATTCGGAAGGCCAACTGTTCCTGAGGTAGATGACATCAATTGCAGCCGAAATGTCGCAATTGAGGTAGTTGTGGCCTCTAAGAAGGCTTGGTGAAAGAAAGAAGGGCGGAAGAACATTTTCTCCTAGCAAGCTCAGTCATCGGAAAGTGATCGAACTGGCCCATGGCCAAGTCAGTTCCTAACCCATCAAGGGTTGATAGAATTGTTCAGTCCAGAGGCCGAAAATGGCTTGCCTTACAGAACTGGGGTCACCAGAACATGATTGACTCTTCGATCCGCCAAAAAAGCAACAAATTTTGCTATGTATATACAGGGTTCCTTAATCGCTGGCCACCCACATGAGGCATCCGAATTCTTCAACACAAGACCTGGCATTTGCTTTACACAACACTGTGTGGCCTGGTGTGTGAAACCTTGACCTTAGTGTATATACTCTCTGACGAACACAGAACATGGAAGTGGATGGCATGCTTCCTTGGAAGACTACTTTCCTTTACAAGCAGGGGGCTCTTCTACTTCCATGTGACGTGTTCGTCGGAGTGTACCTGGCCTTCCCCATCAGACCGGAGTGACCGGAGCACTTCCAGCACCTGAAGACGCGTCCTTCGTGGCTCGCAGGCGCTGGCGGACGCCGCGGCCACGGTCACCGCGGAACATGCGCTGTCCATGAGCGATGAGACAGTGACCTTGGACGCGAATCCTGAGAGTGAACCTTGGCATGTGTTAGCCTCCCTGCATAAAACATGTTTGTTTGTGTTTTACATCATTTTTGTGTTTTCGTCTAGTTCACCACCTGTTTGGGGAAAGTTCACTTCCATTATTGTTGGTCAGAGGGTATTTCCTTGCTGCTGAGAAGATGGGGGCTCCCTGTGATGCGACACCATGGGTGTTTGTGAACCTGCAGGGTGGCTGGGATGTCAATCAGAGGGAGGAGAGTCCACAGACTCCTGAGCCAAAGGTTCCTCAAGGATCCCTATCTCCATCCCAATTTGCCCAACTTGAAAGATACATAGCTAGTCAGTAGCTGGTGAAAAAGTCAGACACACGCTCCTCCAGCAAGGGCCAGTTGAACTCCGCACGAGTATAGGCATCGTTGCTCGTTTGAGGGGCCTTTGACATTGGGGACACATGTGCGCTCCCACCTGGTGAAGGAGGAGGATGTACTCCAACCCCGCAGAGCGGAAGCCGAAGCCTTGGTTTGTTCAGATGAAAGGTGGAGCACGAACTGTGAACATCCACGACTCCCACACCATGCAGGGACACTTCAAGCGATTCCATGTATAGTAGAAAGATTGGTTGTGAAAGCTTCGGGGTCTCGAAGTTTGTCGGTGGAACATAGTGGAACATCCAACGAACTGTGGCACGAACTGAACTACGTCTGTCGCACGGAACGGGCAGATGATTGGTGGATTAACGACAAGATGGCCAGGAGCAGATTGGGAAGAAGGCCAAGGATATGGTGCAGCCATCCTACTACATCTGCGTGACCGGGCGAATTGAGATGCCCAGACCATAATCATGTTTTTTGTTGTTGGCCAGGAAAAAGGAACAACAATTAAATCATGAAATCTCTGTGCTCGATGTGCATTTGTGGCATCCGGCTTTGGGTAGTTGCAGGGTTATATAAGTGTTTCATCAAGGCAGAGTGCCTGCAACTAGGGGTCTATGCTCGATGTCAGGTGCTAAATTGGAGAACCTCCTATCAAGATGTACCAATAGTATTTAATGCGCCAGGCAGTGCCAGATATAGTCGCCCAAACGACATGAGTTTACATTGGGAATGAATATCCAAGATTCCCAGACTGTGGCTCAACCTGCAGCGAGTTCTGTGGATCATCAGATCTTCTTTGGCCGGGGGAGCCCTTCTGCCTTTTGGATGGCTTTGCTTGCTTAAACATGACAAATTTTTCAATGCTTTCCGGCTTGAGGCTGAAGAGACACCCTTCAGGGCGTCTCCCGAACATTTCTTTCCACGCACACATTAAAATACCTTTAGTTTCATGGACAATAGGGAATCGTGACCAGAGCAGCTCGACTGCTTCATGTTTCTGCTGAAGACTCTCGACCGGATGAGGTGGTAGATGTGGCAGGTGAGGATCTGTGAGGATCTGCATGTTTCACAATGTTCGCTACTAGTAACAAGTGCATCGCTTCTAGTAACAAGTGCCTTACTAGTAGTAACAAGAAGCGAACGTAGAAACATGGTTTCCTTCGTTGCACTCTCGTGGCATGTTGAGAATCCGACCGGACCGGGTCCCGTTCGGTTCGGAGGTGCGGATGGACACGGCTCCGACGTCTTCGTCCGTCTTCGTTCCTTTTTGGCGGTTGGGTTTAAGATCTCTGGTGCGAGGCGAGGCACCGTTGATGGAAGGTCTAGCAAATCTTGATTGGCAGTATTGGCAGAAGGACTCAAAAAAAAATTGGCAATCAAATTCGAGCCCGAAGTTCCTGAAGCCTGAAACTAAAAAGTTCCTTTGCTTCGACATGACTCATGACCGCCCATTCTTGTTGGCCTGTCTGGGATATCACGGTTACTTTTCACATCTTTTCACCCACCTCGACGTGGCGTTTTTATGCGTTATTTTTGCCGCGCCTCCAGCAGTCGTTCCGTTCGCGAGGTCACGGGTGACGTCATTGGAGATCCTCCCTTCAACAGGGTAGCGCATGGAGATACATTGGACTTGAAGCTGAAGCCGAGAGGCTGATGCTGATGCTGAAGCTGCGAACGCGGATGGCGAGCCCGATGATGGCCGACGGCTGATGACGGCTGAGCCCAGGATAGGTGGCTGGGGTTGTAGTTCTTTCACCCTTTTCGGTTGCAGGGTATGTCCAATCCTTCGAGTGTGGTGATAAGTGACCGCGCATTTTCATCTGTCTCAAATCGTTTCTCTGTCGAACCGATGCTGTGGAAAAAGCCTGTCCGGTGGTGGGACACGTCGGGTGGTTTCCTCAGTTCCGGCGTCGGCCTGTCTCAGGCTGTCTCAGAATCCGATCTTTGGATCGGCCCATGGATCGGCCCAGCTCCTTCGCCTCAAACGGGTCGTATGGCTAGATGCTCCTTCACCCGGGTCCGAGGGTCGGGGTTCTGACCGGTCAGGTGTGAGATCCGATCGCAGTGGTTTCCTCTAAGGCCCTTCGACATTTCCAGCCGCTGGAGCAGGGTCTTCAGGCCATTTCGGTGTTTTGCCGTTTAGCGTTGGTTTGAGTGGGTTGTTCGCTTGCTAGGGAAGGGAAGGGAAGGGGAAGGGGAAGGGGAAGGGGAAGGGGAAGGGGAAGGGGAAGGGAAGGAATCAACACGAACTTGAAGGAATCAGCGAATCGATGAACACATATGAAATGCGCGCGACTGCTGCGGAACATGTTCATGGACTGTGTACTGCCTTCTGTGATCCACGGGATGTCGTTTGCCACTTCACCACCAGTGAGCCTGAAACGGTCAACTCTCCCCCCAGGAAGCATCTGAGGGAGAGTCAACAGAGATAGCTGAGATATCAGATAGCACCTAAATCGATCGTAGTCTATCCTAGGCTCAGTACAAGGGGTAGTGGTAAATGGTAGTGGTAGTGGTGATGGTGGTGGTGGAACAGCCGAAAGCTAAGCTCAGGTATATTGGAAAGGGGTCCAAGCTTTTGCATTGTTTCATTAAGGCTTATTTCATTGTTTCACCCGCATGAACAATTGTATTCGGGATGTATCGGGCAATGTTTTCGATTATAGAATAATAACCAGGTTTTTTGGTCAGAGTTAGAGGGTTCAAGCAAACGCTATTCCGGCCCCTAAAAGCAAGTTCAAGGAGTTTGGAATACTCTTGCGACACATTCTTTGGTTCGCTCCCACTTGACCGTCTAGGATGCAACGTCAGCAACACCAGCAGTCAGTGCCCACTTCAGACCTGATAGGTGGCGATCCCGGGGGTACCGGTCCAACGGTAGCACCGGTCCGCGGTATCGACGGATCCATGGTACTTCACCAAAGCTGAGAACCGACTGGCAGCCTAGTTGCGTGAAACAGAGACGCAGACCCATTTTTCATTTTGGGAACAGGGAACATGATAGATATGTATATTACATGTGTACATTGCATCATACATAATACATACGTAATATAAATCTATACACGATTATATTCTATATGGCACTCGCTAGTTGGCTTGCTTGTCAGGTACACCGTTTTGAGACAGAACGCTAAGTAGGCAAAAACAGCTCCCACATAGATACTGTGCATACTTATACACTGCAAACTTCCGCATGAACCTGCACACCGATGGACTTGGGAGTTTGACGACCCTCCATTTCATCTTACATACTCGGTCCAAAAGCTGCCTGTGTTTTCGTGGCAACTCCGGTTTTTCGATATGGCTGGATCCTTGAAGCGATAGGATGCGGCCACCAGAGGAGTGACTTCAATCGCCCGAAATTGATTGGGGATACTTCATGGGACTGGCCATGTCGCATCCAGTACCAATGAGTAAAACCACATAGCCCAACCCGTATACCATAGTGACACTGATCACCACTGGGGGTCCGCTTCCAAGACAACCAAGTGCAGAGTCTCGGAAGCAAGGCAGCGCCATGTAGACACCCTGCTGGACAGCCACAGAGGCAGATCAGGCCATGCCGTTTGGCGGACCGCACAGCTGTCGCGAAACCAGCGCAGACGGACACCAGTTCGTCCAAGGAGATGTGCATGTCACTCAAGTCAAATCTTCCTGGGTCATTTGGTGAGAACATGTGAGCAAAGCTGACGTGTGCCTGCCACTCCCCAAGCTGGCTGGGAACCAGTGGGTGTCAGGAAGTGATATCAAGTGACACTGACATGAAATCAAGCGAAGCTGGTTCACTGAGTTTTGACTCTCTCAAATTATTCACATGGCCATGGCTGACTTGTGCCGTACCCGAAGTCGCCCGTCCGATGCCCGAGGCGCCCGCCACCGATGTCAGTGGGAATGCCCAGCCTCTGTGGAGACGGGACGGCGTGGTCCAACCTGGTCCGAGCGATAGAAATAGAGCCACCCAGTTAACACAGTTCTGAAGGAAGAGCTAAAACCATCTAAAAACAACTTCCCCCAGATCTCTACACAAAATCAAGCAAGCAAGTGAGCAAGCGAAGAGTATATATATATATATTCTATATTATATACGGTGTATATATGGTTATATATACATTATAATGGTTAAACTTATGTTTATTCAACGCCCAAATTCAATCTCCGAATGCATGCCTTCTAGTGACTGGGAGTTTCTTCACTTTCAGCCTAATTCCACGTTGGCTGAGCGTAGCGTAGTGTCGCTCAGTTGGCTTTGCATCGGCACGTGGCTGGAGACGTGCCTGGAGACCTCAGCCCACTGAGGCTGAACAGTTCCAAGCGGCTCGGGGGCTCAGGAGCGGCTCGGGGACTCCGGAAAGGCTCAGACGTGGTTCCGCCGGGTCGCCGGCCGTCGATGTCCCCGTTTCGCTTCGCTTGTGGTGATGACTGTGGGCCAGAGGTGCGATGGCGGCATCCCATTCGGTGTCCCTTTAGATAGGGGTCCAGATAAACCACCGACATTGGGGATTGTGCCAACGACATCGAACCCACTGTAGCACTTGCATCGCCGAGAGACCCACGACCAATTTTTGTCCTCTCTGGGATTGTGGTTGGAGTGCAGGCGGCATACTAGTTGATCAGTGCTTGAGAACGGAGAGAAAAGCATGAAAGGATACAAGATGGAAGGACCAGAGGCTGCTTTGTCTTGGGATCATTCGTGATTCAGCACCAGAGCGAGAGAAAGAAGCGCTTTTTGATGCTTTTTGCGAGACCATTGGGGGAATCAGCCACAACGTGTTGGGCTTTGGGGCGAGTTGTTCGAAGTTCAAGCCTCCAGGTCTGATGAGGGTAGATGTTTCATCTCAACTTCTACACGACCTCAAAACGCCTGTCTCTGTGAACTCCTGCCGGCCCTTCGCCAAGCCCCGTGTGAGGCGAGTCTCCGTCAACTCAAGACTCCAACTCAGTAGTCACTAGGTTAGTGACTGTGGGTCAAAACCGGGACCCCTTAGTCCCGTAGCTTGACCTGCCCAGTAGTCTCTGTTCATTTCTTTTTGGTCAACCAAGGTCCACCGGTTGAACGACCCACAGCCGAGGACGACCCTTGTGGGGGGCCGTTCACCCGCCCCGCTGGTTCGGTGCGTGCTCGCACACTCAGGTCATGGATCCGCACCCGCAGGTTGGTGCGGCGCCTGCGGTGCGTGCGGGTTCGGTGCGGGCGGGGCCAAAGGGAGGTTTGCCGAGGACCCCATTTCGGCAGGTTCGGAGGAGGGAGACTGCGTGAGGTTTGAAGTGGGTCACTCTGAAGATCGGTTCCGTGTGACTGTTTGCGGTCCGTGGGGTCACCACATGTGCATGGTTCACCCAAATAAGACCCCTAGTCACTTGCAAGCCTGACTTCTGATACAGAAATGAAGGAAGCGGAAGTATCTCCTCCCACCCAAAAGCTGGACTCCTCTCTTGAGGAGTCGGTGCCCCCGAAGTGCTCGCAACCCTCGCACCCGCCATGGATCGATCGTGGCGCCACGGTGGCCGTTCTCCCGCAACAGCCCTGCTTCCTCCCAAAGAGGACAATGGGACGAGTCACAGAGCGGATCGAACCCTCAACCCTCGTCAAGGCTATATTGATTTAGATTGGTTCTGACAGGACATAATATATAAATACACCATCAAACTCAAAGGGGTGAAATGCTGTGTCTGTATATATATTTATATATACACATACATGAGCAATCTGCCAACGCCTGCAACCTTCAAGCAACATCATTCCAAGGCGAACCTCGGACCCCAAATATTCTCAAACCAAATAGCAAAGAAGGGGCTACTGCAAACATATCAAACGTACACATGTATGTATATCGAAGACCCGGCGGAGGGCTACTGCAAACAATACAGACTGACTGCGCGGAGGGGAAGCTAAACATGCACCCACTGATCCACTTTTCCCAGGGCCTCGAGAGCCTCATGCCCGGCGCTTTCCAGAAGGTGCCGGGTGTGGATGCACCGGGAGGAAGCTGCGGGTGGAAGAGCAGCGGGCGTTCGGAACATGGAGTTTACACCAAAACATTCCTGTATAGGGTTACTCACTTGATCTCACTTGTATTATACTCCCAAGTCCTTTAAGGAAACAGTTCGTTTGGACCATCCATCCCACTGACCGCGGACATGTTGCTGTCATTCAGTTGAGGATCTAGTTTTACGAACGTTTCCGCCGCTTGCGCCATGGAAGTTTGGAGTTGCGAAGTTCGCGCCATGGTCATTCAGACACTTTTCTGGACAAGTCTCGTCCCAGACCACCATGGGATGGACTCGGTGGGTGGTGTTTTGTCACGCGGACTCGTTTGGACAAAACGGGTGGACCTTGAGCCACCGCGAGGCCCCAGCGCCTCAGTGGCGCAGCTCCACCGCTTCGTCGCGGTCTTCCATCTCCTCGCTTGAGGCAGGAGGGAAAGAGTAGAAAGCAAGGTCAAAATTGTTGAGTTTGGATCGATCGGTTCGCTGAAAAACACCAACATTGGAGGTTGTTTGATGTTTGCGTGCCCTGAACACCAAGTTCCGCTGCCCTGGTGTTCGTCCGCGCGTCGCTTTGCCGACACGTCCTTTCTCCAGGTGCCTAACCCTGTCCGGACCGCCACGTATGCACCAGTTTTGCCGATGTCCCCAGAGGCACGTTGGGTCGGTGCACGGCGCGTTGGGTCGGTCATCGGGTTTTCACCGGATCCGTCGCCGCGGAGCGATCGGTCGCCGTGTCGTCACCCTGCCGGTTCGGCGGCGTGGTGTCGTGGCGGCGGGGGGGCCTGGTTTTTCATGTCCTGAGGCCGTGTAAGATCCGGGTCACGAGAACAGTGGGGTCGCTCGTGCAGGTATGATTGGAGTTTGAAGACACAGTGCTTGAAGTGCTTGAAGAGTTGGCAGTGTTTTGGGAGCAGGCAGATTCAGCAGATTCAACATCTATGGAGTTCTTCAATTCATGGAGACCCGGTGGAGAATCAAGAACACAATCGAACATGGCCAAGTACATGTCGTACATGTCCTCCACAATTTTTCTGAGCTATAGATGTGTTGGCCTGGATTTGCTATACATGTGTACCTGCATTTGCATTTTGCTATGGCCATGAGTCTCTCTGGTAGACTCTTCATCTTAAGCAGGGTCATTGGGTGCTAGGACTCGACTGACTATACAATGACCCATAGCCATACGAGTCATATCAGGATCTAACAAAGTCCATAGGTAACCTGGTTTGGGTCGACCCAAGTTCTTGTTCCTTTCGCCTGTTTTCGAGGGCTATCTCTGGACCATCCCCCATGAATGGCTCCGGCAAGTTCCTCTAGCTCCATCGAGCCACATCGAGCTGACTCTAGCTGCCACATCGTCAGCCCCACGCCTTCGCAGACGTTGAACATGAACATCCCAAACTGGACTCCTTGGGCAAACACCTTCCATGAGGCGCGTGGACCAGGGCGCCCCACTCCGCGACACCTATCGGAGACTGAGAATCAACAAGCATGACTGATGAACGACCCCCGACTTCCTACATGGTACAATGGTACAACATCTCCACGTGGGGGGTTTATTCATCATGTCTTTTTCGGTCGGGAGGAAGAAGGAGGAGCGTCATGTCTTTCATGCTTGGTTTTTTCTGATCATTTGACTCTGACAGGGGGGTCAAGAGCAGTCATCTTCGTGTCCAACGACCGGCACTTCACTGGGGATGGAGCATCCCACTGTTTCCACGCCACCGCCCTCTGGAGAGCGGAGGGCCGTTGACCCCCGTTGCGAAAGATGGAGAACGGCCGAGGGGGGGCTTCGACTGGGGGGAAGGAGCACATGGAAAGACCAAAAGCCATCAAAAAGCCATCAAAAAGCCATCAAAGATGATTCTGTTTTCCACGCCGAATCGCTTTTTTTTTCACCACGAGACCACGCCCAAACCACCATGATTCCGACCCATCTGAAGGACCCTTCCGGCTTCGGTACGCTCCCGTAGGGTCGATCGATGGACCTCGCCGCCGGTGGGGTCTGGACGAACTCCTCCGGGGTCTTGGAGGTCTTCTTTCTCTGACTGGTGCCACGAGCCGGAACGGTGCGGAATGGAGCCAGTTCGTTTTTTCTTTTTTGGGCCAGGCTCATTCCTAGAAATTCCGAGTCGCACCAGCTAGGTTTCTACGGTCGTTTCTGTCTTTTTCCCAACAAGAGGTCGAAGAGGTGCTCAGTCTGACCGCTTCCTTGATGGAACAACGTAGCCAAACAGAGCCGAGCCATGTGCCGTCGCCGTATAATAGATTGATGGTGCTGTCGCCACCAAACTCATGGTCTACATGGCTCCTTCAGGGTCTTGGTGAACCATCTTGCGAGTCTATCCATCTTCCACGCCGTAACTATCCTCACGCTTCCTAGGTGACTGAGTCCATTTTGTATTGCCATGCTTTACCCAAGCGATTTATTTTTGAATCTGGCTGAATGTTGCTGACGGCAGCTGACAGGCATGCATCTTAAAAAGACCGCTTATTTGCTGTTTTCCGCTAAAACCAACATTTTCAACACATCCCTGCACCACTTCTGAGTCCGACCCATGTGGGCATGTATTGTATATTAAAGTAGGCAGACCTCTCAGAGACATCCCCTGGAAGGTCTGGAACGAACAGTCTACCCGAAATCTCGGTTGGTTTGGAGCGAGATTTCGGGGGGGTTCTCCCTCTAAAACGAAACGAACACATCGACGTGGGCCATTCTTCATGATCGACCCCGGTGGATCGACTCATCTCCCCAACGGGTGGAGCGGCTCCCTCTCCTTTTTCGACGCACGGATGACCTGAGCAGATGGCCCCGCATTGGTTCCAAACGGGTGCCGAAGACATCCACTTTCGACCATACGAACCGCTTTCGAGAACGTTAGCAGTCTGGCCGAAATTTGGAGGGGGCACACGAGTGGTCCAGCCCCAAAGTTCATCACCAAGCAAGTGCGAAGGGCTGTATGTTTATGTCATGTGCTTTGTAGGGGGAAGCCTTTGCACTTCATGATCTTGGATGCCCCACACTCCGTGCCGCAGAGTTTCGGGACGCCGTGGTGAGATATTGACCGGACCGTTGAAGTCCGGGTCCTGGGCTGTTTGGCCTCGTCCCTGGTGACCCAAATCTGACATAGCAACTGAGCCGGCAGGCTGCCAACTCAGAGATTCACGGGCTTGCCCCCAACACAATGAGCCAGGCATGGGCCGTGGACATGTTTGGGGAGCGTGAAGGACCTGCCAAGTCGAAAAAGTGCTGTCCCAAAGAGGAACCCAAAAGGGGACATGTTGGACCTCAACACCTTAAACACCCGAGAGCCCAACGACTTGCTACGGTCATCGACCGTGCGACTCCAGTCGAGTCGCGACTCGCGACTCGGGGGGGCACAGGGCACCAGCGACTCGCGACACCAGCGACACAGGGCCTAAGATGGGCAGTCCTTCCAAAGAAGCAGTTCACAGTCTCAGACGGATGGGTGTGGTTTTTCAGATAGACCTGTCCTGTCAGGGACGCCTGATCAGCGCGGATTGTTGGTCATTTTCGTACGCTTTCACAGGGGGAACCGGGTACCCAATTGAGCCGCCATTGGAATCGTACAATGCCAAGTTGAAGCTCTTTGGTCATTTGAGCATGAATTGGTTCCCATCAAGGGGGCCTTCACTCATTGGTGTCTTGTCAGCAACTTGTCAGCTCAAAAGCCTTTGGAGGATTGAGGTGCAACCCTCAATGTCCTCTTTCACACATGTCCACTTCTATAGCAGACTGTCAGTGAACCCCCCCAAAAAAGGTCCGATCATTCCTGATTCAAAAGAGATGGTACACTTTGGCTCATTTTTGCAAGCCGTATTTGCATGTTTTGGCTAGATACTGTTAGAAGTTAGAATGATATATGACTCTGTGCCACGGTCTTTCACCACAATTTGCGGCAACCCTCCACAGCAAACCGCCTGTGCAAAACTGCGATTCTGATCTGCACCACGTAACAAATGATTTGCCACCACTGCCGGCATTGAGGTTCCCTCATCCCTCAAGTTTGTACCATCACATGGGGATAAATTTACCCTCTACAAGATCTACAAGAACCACATTTCAGGGTGCCTTAAGATGCCGCAAAAGAATCGATCGATCTCTTTCGAAATACTTGAGACGGTCCTGCGAAACCAGGCCTTGGGTGCCGGCCACTTGGCACATCGAATTTCGATGGATCTTGGTCGAGGACAGCGGGGCGGACAGCGGGCCAAGTGAGGATGGTGTCCGACTCCAGAGGGTTGGTCACCGACTGGGGTTTTTACCCAAGGGCTCTCCCTCAGTTCGTTCGTGCCCAAGCTTCGTTTCTACGCATTCGAAAAGCATTGAAATCTTGCAGGTCTGAGGGGCGTGACGGGAGGAAGGGGCCACTTTGTCATCAGTTGAGTGGTGGGGGAAGCTTTCTTGGACACAGAAACTAAAACATCCGAAGAACATCGAAAGCTGATTTGGTAGCAGAAGGTATCAGGTGAATGGTCTAAAGGCACCAGGCTTGGTCGATATCGGCTTGGACTTCTTTCCTTGATCGACTGAGGTAGCTCGGCACCGGCTCCAAGGGCTTTTGTCCGTGGTGAGCAAATCATTTTCCAGCTTTAGACCTCTGACGTTTTGGTTTGAAGTATACCGGGGAAAAGAATTATGTACAGCTTCCGCCTCCTTCCCAGAGAAACGTTGAGAGTGAGGTGCAGGAAGACGCATAGCATGTGTTAACCCATTCTGGGAGGGAGGGGGCCGCTTGATACAATCTCCCAAAAATTTGGGATTCAATCTTCGGCTGCGGATGTGGAAAGCACCCACATCTGGACCCAATTGCTGTGGCTCCAGAATCTGATCGATTCGGAATGCGCGTGACTGCATACTGGTGACTGCACTTTGAGTGTGTCCACATATGAATGGAGGCATCAAGATTCTTCAGCCACATTCTCGGTCCAACTTGGAGATTTGGCTGGCAGACTCCAGACATGTTGACCAAGGTTGACGGCCATGAGAGTTGGCTTGACGAAGGTTGACCTCAATTTATATGACCACTCCACTCATGTTTGTTCCTCCGACAATTGGTCGACCATTTTGGTAAGCACCTAATAACGAAAATTAATTGGCATGTTCCCAGTGTACCTTGGATCAAGCTAGCCAACTAAATTAATCAACCCGTCCTCCAGAGGCCAACCCCCCTGAATTAACTTTATGATGTACGCTAAAGCTAGTTCTGATGACACAGCAAAACAAAAAACATGCATACACAATGCAACAAATGCAAAACCAACCCCGAAAAAACTGCACAGAAAACGCAAAAACAAGTCGCCAAAGGATGCCTTGGAATGCAAAAAACAGCAAACAAAATGCGAAAAAATAAACCACATTTGTCCACTAAACAAATGCAAAAAACAATGCACAACAAATGCAACAAAAGTGCACCAAAAAGGCACAAAACATGCAACAAAAATGCACAAAACAGGCAAGACACATGCAATCAACAAGCAAAACAAATGCGATCAAAAACGTTCTGGTCTTTGCCTTTGCATTTGTTTGCTTTGTATTTGCTTTTTGTTTGCGACTTTTTCTGATCTTTTGTGTGTTTCCTTGAGAAAACACAAAAAAAACGAAAAACACGACAAAACACAAGCAAAAACAACGTACAAAAAATGCAAACAAAAAAACGCCATGCAAAAACATCGCACACAAAACGCGCAAACATCGAAAAAAATCACACAAAAAAGGTGGTGTGTGAAATTTGGTTGTGCATGTGCATTTTTTGTGCGGTTTGTTCGCTTTTGTTCTGCGTTTTTTAAACTGTTGTTTTGCGTGTTTTTTTTTTGGCTTTTTTTGGCTTCCTTTTGCATTTTTTTGCTGCCTGGTTTTGAGTGTGATGGCTGCTTTCTTGCTTGGTTTGCATGCTGCGGCCACTTTCCTGCCTGGTTTTAGTGTGGTGGCTACTGCCTGCCTGGCTTTCAGTGTTGCACTTTCCCAGGCCTATGTTTGCCAAATAAATTAACCGACCCCTCCTCCAGAGGCCAACGTGCCCAGATTTTTTTTTTGTTGCCTGGTTTTGAGTGCGGTGGCTGCTTTCCTGCTTGGTGTGCATAGCTTCTGCATATCTTCTGACATTCTTTTAAGCATTCTTTCTGACATGTCTTTGACATTCATTCTGACACTCTATTTGGCATATCTTCTGCGTATCTTCTGACATTCTTCTGGCGTTCTATCTGGCATATCTTCTGACTTGCGGTTGTCGTCCTGCGGGGGGCACTGCCGGAACACTGCCAGCCGAAGCCCGCGGTTGAGGTCTGGCGGGGAACACTGCCGAGCGGAACTCGCAGTTGAGGTCCAGTGGGGAACACTGCCGTCCGGAACTGGCGGTTGAGGTCCAGCGGGGAACGCTGCCGTCCGGAGCTGGTGGTTGAGGTCTGGCGGGAAGCTGCCGTCCGGAGCTGGCAGTTCAGGTCCGGCGGGGAACACTGCCATCCGGAGCCGGCGGGGAACACTGCCGTCTTACACTTACGGTTGAGGTCTGACAGGGAACACTGCCATCCGCCACTCACGGCTCAGGAGGACGAGGACAGGAGGAGAGGAGGAGAGGAGGAGAGGAGCAGCCAGGGGCAGCTAACATAGATAACATCTAACAACCCGCACCTGGCAGATGGGGATATAGAGCTACTGGTAGCATGGCTCTTGCTTGTTTGCCTGCCTGCCTACCTGCTTGCTTCCTTCCATAAACGAGCAAACTCCAGTCCAAGAAATCAGGTGACTACAAAATGGTTGCCTATAGGAATATATTTCTAGTTTATATAAGCGTATATGGCTGTCTATATATATATATATATATATCATACATGCCACCTGCAGACGCTGTCCGGCAGTCTGTCAAGAGCACCCACAATGACTTGGACAAAGCTTGAACAGCGACTTGTTGGGTGGAATCCACTTAGATGTAGCTCTGCTTCTGCTAAGCTTCTGTATGACGTCAAACAAAGCCATACTGGGGGGCTGGGGACACTCAGGACAGTTAAACATAGTTCTAACTTCAATTACATAGTGGCACGAACATGCACAAACAATACACCTTCTAAACTGAGAGGGACAAGCTTGCCTTACAGCTCATTCGTCGGTCTGGCTCTTCTCACCTTTCTTTGCATGGCGCTGCTACTTCAGGCCCGTCCATGCCTGCAAAGTCCTTCTTTTTTCAGACACACGGTAAGTGTCACATGCAGATGCATGCAGAAATTTGATGAAACTTGTATAGTCTCAGCGATGGTTTGCACCCCAACTTGCAGTAAAATACCTTGTTTGGGACCTTGCAATATAGTCATTTGAGTCCTACATTTTGTAGAGGCCGCCTTCACCTCCCCCACCCACACAAACATCTTATATCATTTTATAGACTTTGCAAGCTTTGTGACAAAATGGTGGGCGTGACCCCACCAAGTAAACGTGCGGCTTTGAATTGATTTTGTGACCCACATTCTCAAGACACGAACGAAAGAAGACACTGATTCGTGTCCGCCCCTTCTTGTCTTTGGCCAAGCTCCAAGCCGTGTGCCGCGACGGACTTAGGGACGGCCCGGTGGTGATTTTTTTGCTGTCAAAGCTGGTGGGCTGAAAAAAAACGAAACCACCCAAACCAGTACAAAAACACTGAGGAAACGTCAAGGAACAACAAAACACAGCTTGAGATCTCTTGAGAGGAATCATAGATCTCTTGATCTATGCTGTTGGAAAATCGGCCCAGCACCCGGTACTGCCAACAGTTTCTTAACTGTCCAAGCCCCTAGTAGCGTCCTTGCTCCTAGTAGTATGGCCAGGAGCCCTTAATAGCTTCTTGCTCCTAGTAGTAAGGCCAGGAGCTCCTAGTAGTGTCCTTGCTCCTAGTAGCGATGCCAGGAGCCCCTAGTAGCTTCTTGTTCAGGAGCTCCTAGTAGCGTCCTTGCTCCTAGTAGCGATGCCAGGAGTACTGCCATGAATTGTTTGGCTTGGACAGTCTTGTGAACCACGGGGAATGAGTCTCACGAAGCCTTATGTGCCTTGACACGCCCACGCGCAACATATCATGCCTTGGTGGGGGATGTCCGTTGACCATCTACCAGCATGTGCTTAAGAAGGCATCCATAGTCTTGACATCCGGAGCGGTATGGTTTAGTGAATGCACACTCCCCAGGTTGCCAAGAGGTGGTTTACATGGACCCCCATCAATTTGAGTTGTTTCGGGGGTGTGCCACCGACTCTGAAACCTCTGTATCAAAGGCGACTAATTTGTTCCGTCCTCGTCCAGTCAGGTCTATGTTGCTTAAACGGATTCTTGGCAAGGAAAACTGGGCAGTCCCGGAATCTTCTTCATTTGCGTTTTCTGCTTCGTCGTCGGGGTGGACCCGCGTGGGGTCAGGATTTGGCAGGCTGCAGAAGGCCTGCTAGTCCAGTGAGTCAACGATCAGAAGACTGGCGTCTGGTGATTGGTGGTGCATCAAATGTCAGTTTTCATTTAATTAGTGATGTAAATCTTCGCATGTTCTTCTGCATCGTCATGTCCAAGTTCTCTTGGCTTGCTGTGAAGTGTCCAGACGAAATGCCCTTGACGTCCTGCATAGAAGAGATTCAGCCTGAATATTCTCTGATTGGGGGGAGCACCCTCCCTGCAGCAGAAGTGCCTCGTGCGAGTTACCCGCAATCTGAATTTTCACGATCTGGTCGCGGGCCGCTGGCGACAGAATTGCCACTGTAAGCGAGACAAACTAAGCAGCGCTTCAAATTTTGACATTTTGACCCATGAGGTTCAAAATCCTTATACAGGTGAATTCCTAAAGATGAAAATAATGGTGTACTGGCACTGGCAAATGTTCAGATATGATGTATAGTGTCAAGTTTGGTGAATTCTGAATAATTATCCAATAATCCAACAAGTAACTAGTAACTGTAAGATAATTCTAATCAGGAAAGCAACCAGCATCCGTTCATGAGCCTAGATGTGTCCTGAGTTTTTTGGGTTCAAAGCCTGTTTAATCACAGAGGGCCAAGCTGTATCACACTGTTCAGTGGCCCAGATGCGAATTCCAAGCCTCCGCAGAACACAGCGAGCCTCCTCCCGCACCCACCAGCTTCGGCCCGTTGGTTGGAACATCCACGGACAAGTCGCCCAAAGGGGAAGAAGTATGTCCAACATGTAGACCGTCACACTTCGTGGTGTAGGTGAGGTTTCTCAACATCACGAGTACATATTTTGCAGCACATGTTTCTTGGGAGCTGAAGATGATTTGGCATTGATGTGAGGGACCTTTTCCATGTGAGCAGGCAAGAGTGTGAATGCCCCAAACAAAGAAAGTGGACACACCAGGAGTCACAAGACGGGGTGGTTTTTAGTCCCTAAGTGAGTGGACAATGGGCACCCCCATCCTCCAATAGGCACCCCTTTGCGACTGCTGGTACAGCTATCAAAATGCACTGATCTGCAATCCTCTCATGAAAAAGAGGGCGAACAGTAACAGACACGTAAGAGAGCGGCGCGCGCACCCAGTGGACTGGCCTGGAAGGTCGTCAAATCTTGTTCGGTCACAGCGTCCAGCATTGGCAAATCGCCCATATGACCAACGCAAAACGTACTTCAGGAC